TGAGAGCTATGATAGGAACCCCAATTCAGAACACCTTAGAGCCAATGTGATGGCTAGATATGAGTGGATAGGTGTATAACCAATGTAGTGGCTATGATGAGTATTGAGAGACAAATACAGGATTGACTTTCATGGATATTACCCCTATGCAAAAATTCAATGAGCTAGAAGACATTTGCCTTGGACAATAAGTAGGTGACTTGTGGAGCATTAAGACGTGACTGTTATGTAGGAGCAAAGGGCATGCACAGGTTCCTAGAACAAGTTGACTTGTCAAGGTGGTGAGTTTGGTAATGACATTGTAATACTCAAAGTATGAAGATAGATATGGATCAATCTTTAATGGGTTACCCCCATAGTTAAAGATGGAGAGCTACCTAGACTCTTGAGACTAAGAGCGAGAGACTCATGGAGAAGTAATGCGTTGTTCCTAGAGTGAAATAGAGGACAAATGCAACTCTAGATAAGTAGACTCTTGAAGAGTGGTGAGCTCGTGATCACATTGAAATACTACATGACTGTCGCACTTGGGAATATCTGTTTGAGGGGGTGTTGTAAGCCTTGGTGTGAGGCTTAAAAAATCATTTTGGACCGAGCATGGTTAATATGCTCGAAGGGGAATGTTATATTCCAAAGACAAGCGTTAACACTCTTCAGATGAGATGTGGTAGATCATTTAGTTAAAGTGATCCTTTGGTGTGAGCAAAGGTGTACTCTGGTGATTGAAAGGTTTGGTGAACATCTGTAAACTTGACCACAGACGCTCTCGAAATGGTAAGTTTGGAAGAGCTGCAGTGTAACGTTTTGAATTAATGAATTGGAAAATACAATAAAGCCTTGAAGGTTTAAAAGTTGGAATAAATAATGAGGGGTATTGTAGTAATTGTATAAAGAGATGATAAATATAAATAGAAAAAAAAACAAAAGAAGAGATCTGAAAGTTGAGAAAGAATCGATAGGAGAGAGAAGGGAAAAAGAAGAAGAAGAGAAAAGAGGGAAATTAGAAAGGGAATAATAGAAAGGAGTTGGAGGAAATAAGTAAAAAGGTAAGATTATGTATAAATATGTGTTAATTAAGCTTTAATTTTGGTTTTGATAAATGTTAGGATTATGAAGTTTGTGTTGTGGGTTTAATTGATGAATTAAATTGAATGTTAGGGGTTGATTGTTGTGGTTAATTGATTGTTAAGTTGAATTTGAGAGATTGTAGATGAAAATGATGATTTTGAGTTATAGTTTTGTTTGAATGGTGAATTTGTGTTATAAATTTGGGGAGGACACTAGGTTTTTTTTTAAAATTCTGGGTTGGAGGTTGAAGAAGATAAAATTTCGGTATGGTCCCTCAATTTTGGAAAATTACCATTTAGTCCCCAAGCTTTGGAAAATTACAGATTGGTCCCTGGAGCATATTCTGAGATTCTGAACAGAATAAAATAAGAATTATAGGCAGAATTACTGTATAGTTATGAAATTTTAAAACTTTCAATTTAGTCCTCCAATTTGACAAAAATTACCATTTGACCCTAAAAATTTGGTAAAATTCCATAATGGTCCCTGGAGCATAATTAGAGGTTATGGATAGAAATAAGGATGAATTAGGGACATAATTCCACCATATTCATGAATTTATGATATGTTTAGTTTGGTCCTCCAATTATATGAAAATTACAATTTGGCCCTAAAAATGTGATAAATTCCATATTAGTCCCTGGCTGTGATGTTAGCTTTTTCAGATTGGTTTGATGAATAATTTAGGGTTATTTAGTTAATTATTACTAATTTTATTATTTGTTTTATTATGAATTAGATTTCGGGAAAACCGTTAATTTTTGGGTTTTTAGGAAAATAACTACTTTAGTCTAAAAACATATAGGGTTATGGAATAGACCCTTAGTTAAGTGTAGTAAATAGGTTATATATTCTTTTGAGTCATGCTTGAATATGTTTCCTTTGTATTCAGATAATTCTGATATTCTACCGGCAGGATGTCAGTAGGATTTTCTTCAGTGTCTACTTTTGATTTCTATTTGCTTTCAAGTCAGGTTAGTGGATAATTTTCCATATGCATGAGAAATATTATAAATATTTGATTTGTTAATATGAATTGGATTATGCTTCTTGATAATATATACACTGATTATTATCCTTGTTATGATAAAGCATGATCAATTGTTGAATTTGAATTCTTGATATGAAACCGTATATATTTTGAATTGACTTCTGAATTGATAGCTCATCATTTGATTGATGTCATGAGTTGAGCCTTGAGATATGAATATGTTTGTTTGATTATGATTATGAACATATGGTATGTCAGTCAGAATACCCATGCTAACAGGGTAGTGTCAGTCTTTATACACATTGTATCTGAACCCTAGTTGGTCGGGGGAGTCACCAACCTGTGTGGACTGATCATCCCACAGTACGGAGCCTCATGCTCATTGCATTTTGATTTTCTGACGAGTTTTACCATATGATATTCTTGTTATGGCCTATTTGAGAAACCTTTCTATAAGAACCTAGAGCCATACTTGTATATATATTTCTCATTGCTATATTACCTCGTGTGTGTATATTGAACGTTAACTACTCACTGAGTTGTTGAACTCACCCTCTCATTATTTATCATTTTCAAGCTTATAGCTTGATAGCAGGTCACTTTTGTTGGACCTTTAGAACCTGCTCTTTTGGTTGTAAATTTGTATATTTTCCTTTATGTCTAGTTAGTGCTCAAAAACTATGAAATTATATTAACTCTTGTATTAAGACAATTTAATTATATTATGAAGTTGATTTTGTTATTAATGTTGTGTTGAACTCTGATTGAGTTAGGATAAGTTTGTGTGTAAGTTTGGATTCACATAGGTATGGAACCTTGCCTATGTGCCGGTCATGGAATGGAGAGCTACCTAGACTCTTGAGACTAAGAGCGAGAGACTCATAGAGAAGTAAAACATTGTTCCTAGAGTGAAATAGAGGACAAACGCAACTCTAGATAAGTAGACTCTTGAAAGAGTGGTGAGCTCGTGATCACATTGAAATACTACATGACTGTCTCACTTGGGAATATCTGTTTGAGGGGGTGTTGTAAGCCTTGATGTGAGGCTTAAAAAATCATTTTGGACTGAGCATGGTTAATATGCTCAAAGGGGAATGTTATATCCCAAAGACAAGCGTTAACACTCTTCAGATAAGAAGTGGTAGATCATCTGATTGAAGTGATCCTTTGGTGTGAGCAAAGATGTGCTCTGGTGATTAAAAGGTTTGGTGAACACCTATAAACTTGACCACAGACGCTCTCGAAATGGTAAGTTTGGAAGAGCTGCAGAATGTAAGTTTGTGCTGAAGAAACAAGAGGACAATTGTCCATATAAATGTTAAAGGGGTTGATTGTTGGAATGTTGACATTTAATGGACAGCAACTTTTGCAGCCTACCTTAAGAAGTAATGTTGCCACAGTTAAAATGCTACAATGATAATTGCACGAATCATTGACAAAAGTGGTGTAACCCATATGCTGCCACCATTTGTGCCATGATTTATGGCCTCTTGTCTGCCATGAATTGCCTATAAATAGAGGCATTATTTGAGAGCAAAATAAGAGTAAAAGGGTAAAAGCAAAGTAAAGAGAGAAGAAGAGAGAAAAAGAGGCTGTCAAGGGCAGCAGCCCTACTACTATTGCAGTAGCTGCAAATGTAGCAATAAGAATTGGGAGTTGAGTTTGAGGGAAGTGATCCTTCTTCTCCATGTATTTGTATTGTATCTTTTCTCTATCTCTAATAATATTAATTTTTTCCATAAATATAGACAACTTGTCTAACCATGTTAAATATTATATCAATATATTTAGTTTTTTTTAGTAACTATCAGAGCATTACCACTGGTCCGAAATCCCCAACAAGGCTTCCATCAATTTACATGTTATTGTGTGATACAAAGATTCCCTGATGTTTGGGATCTACGAGTGATTAGCAGGTGAGGGTTAATCCATCCTAATTCCTTTTTGTTTATTAAGGGTAAGATCTTGCTCTTTAACACTCAATTCTTGGTGGCTCCTGCTTTCCTCAATACATGAACCTGCTTTTAGTCTAGGTCACTCGTGTTTCTGAACTTCCCCTCATCTATCCAGGGGGATGCTGACAGTGCATTGGACCGGCTCTGGCAGAAGAAGAAAGCTGGAGTTCGACAACAGTAGAATGAGATGATCGATACGCTGGAGGGGGAAGATTCTGCTGTTTAGATGTTTGATATGCTTTCCTAGTAGTAGTTTTGAACATCACAACTCCAGAGTTTCGCGTTGTCCTTCGGAAAAAAGCTGAAGACCCCAATGGTTTTGTTTATGAATGATCGACTTCGCATGTATGTTACCATGATGGTTTGAAAACGAACTCAAGCGGTTTGCATATTTGCTTGTTGCGAGTTTGAGGGATATATTTGCATAATGATATGGAATCTATCTGGGTTTGAAGATTGATATGAAAAGATGTTCAAGATTTCTGTCGCAAGCTCAGTACGTGAATGGTGTTTGCTGGATGCTTGGCTCATCAAACATCAATCCAAGTTTTCAACTTTCCTTCTTTAATTTAACTAATTCTCTTACTAAACAGAGCAGTTGTCTAAACCAGACAGTGGATGCTCGGCTCATCGACATAATCCCCTGGTCGTTTTTTTCCTTCGTTGTGTTTGATGCTGTGGCTGCTATTGCTACTATGAGAGTTTCCAGCGTGTGTTTTGCATCAAGCTGCCATAGCCGAAATCTGCTTATAGAATTGTACTAGATCATATAGTTTCCTCAACTTGCGCTAATCCTTTTCGTGCTAGCTTCGGTTGCAACCCAAATCTTATCCAGCTCAAAAAATCACAGGATGTCAACCTTATTGCACACAACAAATTGGGTTTGATATATTTTGCTATCAAAGCATCAGATTAAGGTCAAAGAAGAAAAGTAAGAAGACGCAACTGGGATTTATTGGAGGGTGAAAAGCAAACGAGACAGCATGTCAAAAATGAGAATGCGTGATCCTTTGATGGGCTGGCTGTCCAATTCCTTTTTCTTTTTGGTCAAAGAAAGGTCATGACACGGGGCCTCGCGAGCAAGAACATGTCAACAAGACGACAACAAAAAAAAAAAGAAATATATATTTCGTAATCTAGGGAGTAGAGAGGATGGCTCCTGAAACCTAATTGTTTGGAACCCTGTAATCAATTCTGTTAATTGAATTCGATTTTAAGAAAATTACTACTTTGAGGATGAGAAATTCTTAAATTAGCTGGAACCCTTTCAATTAGGAATTGGTCCCAAACGGCGTGTAAGCAAAGCTTACATATAATTATAGGAAGGATCTTCAGCCTGTAACTGGAGAAATAGTCAATGGATTTGAGTCCAACAAAACTTGATTACTATCATGACATGTGGAAACTCCAATCCAAAGCCACACTTTTATCTTTCTTCAAGGTTTGCTTCTCTTTCATTTCCTGATAAGCTAATTTTTAATCCCTTGTACACCTGGAAAAGTATTAAATCTTTGATTTTTTTTTCTTGAAAGGGAGAAGATGGCAGAAATGCTTTGATTTTAGACTCAACAATCTTTCATCCTCAAGGTGGAGGCCAACCAGCTGACACTGGAGTCATCACCATTGCTGCTGATTCCAGTTTCAAGTTTATCGTCCAAGATGTTCGATCCAAGGATGGAATTGTAAGTTTTCCACTGTTTGAAGTTTTTAAATTATTGGGTTTATGATTTTTTCTTGATTTTATTGATAAGAAGCATTCCCTTGGTATTCTTATTTGTAGGTCTACCATTATGGGGTTATTGAGGAGGGTTCTGGTAAGGATTTTGAAATGGAAATTGTAAGAGGGGGAGAAGTTTTTTTGTTTGTTGATGAGGCGAGGCGAAAGCTGAATTCAAGGTGTGTAAAGATTCAGTAGTTGTCAATTATGGGTTTGACTTGATATAATTGAGATTTTTTAGGGTTACTTAACTTGAATTGGTGATCTGTAGGGGTTAGTATGCATGTATTTCGTTTTGTATAAGAGCAAAGAAAGCTATCGAGAGCTTGGTTATAGTTATTTTGTCATGCTGGTTTCCAAGCAGGAGGTTAGTATGTGGATTTTTTTTGAAGTTTCAGTTTATGTTGTTTTTTATGATGTAGGCTGCACTCAGCTGGGCATTTGATGGATGCGTGCCTGGAAGAAGTGGGATTGGGGCATATGGAGCCAGGAAAGGGATACCATTTTCCTGATGGGTATGCTTTGTCTTGAGCATGCTCTTTCACTGCTTGTAATGTAATTCATAACAATAATATAAGGATCAACTGCGAAATATGGAACTGTTTCTTGCTTGTGTAAGAACCTTGTAGTTTCTGGGTTTAGCTGCATACAGAATATATGTAGTCTTAAGATTTGACAAGTTTAATAGTTCATATGTTAGCCATGAACCTAGGAAATCTTAGAGTTACTTGGTGTCTACATCAGGTCTTAGTTCTACATGTATATCCAAAAGGGATTTTTATATGGAAACATTTCTGCTGGGAGATGGCATTCAAGTGGCTCATTTTTGGCAGGCCATTTGTTGAATACAAAGGAACAATTCCTCAAAATGAATTGCAGAGCAAGCAACATGAATTAGAACTAGCAGCAAATGCTTTAATATCCAGGGGAGGCAAGGTAAGTTGCACCTTTTGCTCGTGCTTGATGATTTCAATTGATATATACTCTGTTTGCTTCTGAAACTAATTTTCTTCATACAGGTTTCTGCTGCTGTATTGCCATACGAAGAAGCTGCTGAATTATGTGGTGGTTTTCTTCCTGATTACATACCAAAGGTCTGGATTTGTGGGTTATCTTGCATAAGTTGTAATCCTCCCATCCTTCTCATCTCTGCATAAGAAATTTTGCCTCTATGGTGTATTGTTTTAATTATATTTGATATATATCATGTTTGTCTCTGGTGTACCTGAAGGGTTTGATCACAATAAACCCAATCTCTCCAAGTTGATAGTGTTATCCTTTTCTGTAAAGGATGGGATATAGCTTGCATCATCCTGGTTAATTATTTTGTGTTTTTGCTTTTTCTAGAGTTATTTGAGAGTTATAATGCTATCCTGTTTTTGCTGAATGAGAAGTAAGCCGTCTAAACCAGTAATGCATTGAATAGTAAGTACTGACATTTCGTAGAAATGCTCTACGATGAAAATCCAGTCCCTACAGCAACTTGGCTTTGTTCTTGCATGACAACAGGTTTTCTCAGTTTTGTGCTGCTATCTATTATAGCCTAATTTTGCATCCCTTGCAGGACAGCACTCCTCGTGTTGTGAGGTTAGGGAACAGCGCCGTGTGTTGTGGTGGCACGCATGTTTCTGATATTTCAGAGATTATAAGTTTGCAGGTAAATGGAGGTTGTTTAAAAATATTTAATGTTCCATATTTCTGCCTCGCTCACTTCATAAATGTTGATTGGAATCATGAATTTACCTAAAAATAGGACCAAACAATATTTCACCCTTCCTGTATAGGAATCGTAGAAGCTGATGGGGGTAGCAGCGTTCATGTTTGATTATGCATCAGGATTGCATATATTTGCATTAATACCCTACATGATATGATGGGATGCTATCCATGGAAATAATTTTCTTTTTAAACATTAGTAAGGGCAAAGAAGGAAAATAAAATAACATGGATCTTAGGATAAGCAACTCTGATTTCACCAGCATGGTAAATCACTGCAAGTGAATCTGCGTTTTACAATCTCATCATGTTTCCTGTCACGGACCATCCTAAAAAATGTACGTTGTTGGCCAAGAACCTAGCCTTTTGTGACGTTGCTGGATGTTGTTTCAGGTTTCTCAGATTCGCAAGAAGAAGGGAATGACAAAGGTTTCTTACACTGTTGGATCCTAGCACTCTTTAGCAATTGATTGTGTAAATCATGTGAGCATAAACTACTTCTGTATGCTGAAAGTATGCATGATATGCAGCTTTGTTATGCTCGCATGGTTTAGCTGATTTAAGCAGTTATGCTATGAAGGTCTTTCGAGGACTTTCTTTGGTATACTCTCAAGAATGATTTTTCTTTTTCTATTTATTTTAAATTTGCTTATTTTATTTTCCCATCATTGATGAGACTTATTTCATCTCTTTAGACATTGGAACAGATGCTTGTAATGTCTGCGAATCATTTAGGAGTGTTTGATTCCCTGGATTTACTTTTCATTTTTGGCTGTTTGTTAGCATTTTGCAAGGTGACCTCCATTGTTTAGCAGGCAGGGATGATTCAAGTTCAACAGTTGTTGTCTAGGCTGATCAGAATAGAGAAAATTTATAAATTTTGCTTTATTGGGATTGTTTAGAGAGTGACTTGGTTTTAATTGAAATGTAAATCGGTTTTCGTCGAAAGAATAAATTCAGACACTAATATTATAGGAACATTGTTGAAAATTAAAAAGATAGTTTGCCCTAACAAAACTCAAATCAATTTGGAGCTTAGAGGGAGGGGAGCAGAATTCTAAAAAAAGGGCATTACAGGTTGACGTGAACCAAGCAAAACAAAAGAGAAATTCCTCTAAATTTAGCGAAGACTCTTCTCCACCAGCCAATTTTCACTTCTTTCTTTCTTTCCTTCTCTTTTACATGATATATATAAAAATATTCTCCGCTATCTAAAATCAAATATTCCCTTCTATATCTCCCTCTCTTGCATCTCTTGCCTTGCCTAGTATTACTTCTTGCCCTGTTGACCACACTTGTTCTCGTAAGACACACAACACGCCCACATTCCTTCACTGTTGACTTGTTTTGTATCAAAATACTGAGGTGCGTCATCATGTTTTTGCTCTGTCTCTGCTGTTTTTCCTTTGAATATTGGTTGCTGTATGGATTTGGCTTAGTGTTTTGATTTTATGGTGTTTTCTTGAGGAGAACTTTGGTTTTTTCTTTCTTGTAAAGCATATGATATTCATCTATGGCGCTTGAGGTCAATTCATGAAATCCATCCATGGAATGGCTGCCATCATGAATATGGATCATGGTTATTGATAGACATATATTTCGACTGGATCTTCTCATGCTTATTGAATCTAGTTGCTTAATTACATATCTGAATTCTAAGAGAAATTAAGCTATAAATTAAATGGAGTTTACAGTTGCATAAGATACGGTTGGATTTATAAAAGCTGTCTAAGTGCTTTTATTTCCCTCCATTTGCGTGTCTAGGATCCCTTTTAAGCTGGCTAACATGGGGTGAAACTTGATTGATTTTGCCATTCTCTCGATGAGCAAATGCCCCCAAGTTGTTCTTTTGAGATTTACGTCCATAAAATGCTGCTAAGAAGCTTTCCTTAAGGATCTCTATTTCAAGTTTTGAACCCGTGGATCTTCCTCGACTGCCTAGTGACTGATTCTTATTTATGATTTATCGTGGTGTTATTTATAGTATTTAGCATCCAAGATGATGCAAACCGTGGATATAAAAATCGTCTATCCTACAATCAAGATTGAAACAATCATGAAAAGCCAAAAATTAAATTTGATAAGAACCCGTTACTGGTGAATCAGACACAAATACTATTGGAGTAAACCTTCAACCAATGAGAACTACAAGGAAAAATGCTATAAAATTAGTTATACTTCAATAAATTTAATTATTTTTTATTTAAAAATTGAGAAAAATATGTTGGTATCCTAATTTGGATTATTTAGTTATACTTCAATAAATTTAATTATTTTTTATTTAAAAAATGAGAAAAATATCTTGGTATCCTAATTTGGATTATAAAAATGTTTTAACCCAATATAAAACAATATATAAAAATTTCTTGTAAAATTTTAGTTCGGTTTAACGGTCAAATTAAAAGTATAAAAAAGTTATACTTGTTATACTTAAAAGTATAAACATGAAAAATAAACATAATTATGTTAATTAATGTTAGAATTATAATTTTCTTGTTGAATGTATCTCTTAATTAATTTGTAAAAAAAAAAGTCAACCACTTGATCTCAATCAATTTGGAAAATTTCCCATCTTGATGTCCTATATTTAGCTATTAATTGCAGGTAATTTCCTTATTTCAGTGATAAATAATGCTAGGAGAAAGTACAGTTAATCCCTATGGAGAATTCAAGATCAGTTTTGGTTATAAATGCAATGCCCATAAAGGTTGCTCTTGCCTGATTCCTAATGAGATTGAAAACCTTCCCGGAAAATTCCCTAGGAATAGCAGCTTCTCTCGCTTGTCCGGTGCTGCCTTAAGTGCGAATGCCACGTTGGCCAACACAAATATCTGCAATGGTGTAATAAGGGAAGAAATACTTCCCAGCTGGGATTCCCCTAATTCATTTCGCAGGATTCCTTCTTCACCTACTCTTTCAAGGTTGGATGTATTATCATCTTCTCTTCAAAGCAGTATGTCAAACCTAAGTTGCAGTCCAGCCACCTCCAGTCCACCTGAATATGATTCTTCTTCACTAAGATCCATGAGTTCTCCTTGTAGAAATGAAGGTTTTCTTAATGCAATGGAAGTTCAAGTTGCAGGTGGAGCTGCTGGCGAAGACAGGGTTCAAGCTGTCTGCTCTGAAGAAAATGGTTGGCTTTTTTGCGCTATCTTTGATGGTTTCAATGGAAGAGATGCAGCTGATTTCCTGGCTGGCACGTTATATGAGAACATCATACATCAGGCTAACTTATTAGACTGTGAATTGAAGAAGGATGTTACTGGAGCTTCAAATGGTTTCTATCCGCATGGGCCCTTTCAATATGCTCTTGAAGGAGCTAGGAATAGTCATGTGGAGAAACCACCAGCAGGAACTTTTAATAAGAAAAATTCAAGCATCGACAACTCCACTAAGAATGGCCCTTTTCCTGATTCACCTGATTCATTTAGACACGGGATGCTAGACAGCCTTCAGCGTGCTGTTAGTCAGGCAGAGAATGATTTCTTGTACATGGTGGAGCAGGAAATGGATGATCGCCCTGATCTAGTCTCTGTTGGTTCTTGTGTCTTGGTTGGCCTTCTTCATGGGATGGATTTGTATACTCTTAATCTGGGTGATAGTAGAGCTGTATTGGCAACATACGATGAGGAGGACAGTGAGATGAAGGGCTGCGGGCGACTGAAAGCTATCCAGCTCACTGACTGTCACACTGTCGACAATGAACTTGAAAGAACTAGAGTGTTGTCTGATCATCCGGATGACCCGGCAGTGATTGCAGGTGGAAAAGTTAAGGGAAAATTGAAGGTCACTAGAGCTTTGGGAGTTGGATACTTGAAAAAAGTAAAATATTATTCATTCAATTTATCTCTTTAATCAATTTAGGAATGACATTTGAGACGAACCATGCAGACCACTGTGCCTGTACTTGAAATTCTTAGTCTGTTTGTAATGTTTGCCGTGTCATGCAGAAAAACCTAAACGATGCACTGATGGGTATTCTTCGAGTTCGTAATCTCATAAGCCCTCCATACATTTCTATCGAACCATCGCTGAATTTGCATAGAATATCAAAATCGGATCACTTTGTTATCGTTGGCAGTGATGGTTTGTTTGATTTCTTCAGTAATGACGAGGCAGTAAAGCTTGTCCATTCTTACATCCTGAGCAACCCAAACGGCGATCCAGCAAAGTTTCTGTTGGAGCAGCTTGTAGGCCGAGCTGCTGATTGTGCAGGTAAAATATTTAATATGGCATCTTTCTTTCTTTCTCACTTCATTCATTATAAATAAATCCCTCCAGGAGCAAAAGATGAATAAATAAATGCAATGCAAACATCAAGGTATGCTTCCTTGCGCCAAACACATATAAATAATCACAGGCACACAGAGACAGGCATGAACAAACTCTGCTGCTTCATTAAAAGAAGAAGAAGAAACTTGGGTCACTTCCGAATTCATTCTCCAGCAGTTAGGGGACTTGAATGGTGAACATCAACTGGTTTATGTGCTGTAGAAGTGATTTACCTTTAAGTGTATTGTTGATTCAAATCTCAATAATTTAACATTGGTATCGTAGGTTTCAGCTTGGAAGAATTGATGAATATCCCTGCTGGTAGGAGGAGAAAATATCATGATGATGTGACTTTAATTGTGATTATACTTGGAGCAAACCAGCGAACCTCAAAGGCATCAACTTGGGTGTGAGTCTGTTTTCTTTCTTGCAATAGTATTTGGTTCTCTACTCTCTAGTTATAGGTTTCAAATTGTACATATCTGATACCAGACCATGTTGATCTCTGGGAAATTTGATCATCTTCCAAACTTTTTGTTTGATACCTGAATTAGCATGAGTGTTTTCCTTTCTTCTTAACCGTGCATGGGTGTCTAAAATAGGACATTTTTTCTTTTCTTTCGATGAAAGTGATGGGATTTTTCCTATAAGCAAAACAAAGAAAGAAATAGAAACTTTCCAGAAAAATAATCATGCATTCCGGATGGAGCAGTCTGTATATTCCATTAGAGAGCCACTCGTGCTATATCACAGGTTGCACTTTCGAATGGATGGTCCAGCATTGTTGCAGCTTCCCGTCTTTTTATGCCAATTCGATCCCACTAGTTTCTGCTCCTAGCTTCCTTTTTGGTTTCTCTACCTTGAAAGCTTCCGAAAGTGGAGCTACTGTTAAAAACATGCTTCTGCTTTTTGTGATTTTTCATCTTTATTTCACTGGCTTCTGCAAGCTGTTAGGCCCACAAACAAATGATTCTCTTTAATCACACACATAGTAGTTGATTTAGAATCTTAATAATTGGATAGCCAATGATCATGGGAACCAAAAACAATGGGCAGCAATAGGCTGTTTCTGTTTGTCATGTTGCAGAACAAGTTTCCAAGGGATGGCATTGTCTTTTGCAGGAGTGGAAGTGATGCTCTCTTAATGAAATTAGGCGTATGAGTGGATTTAACTTGAAATGAGAATTGAAAACAAAAAGGGTTCACTCATCTTTCTTTGCCTTCACCAATCATAACATAATCACTATCTATTCTGATCGTTCACTGCTGCCTTTTCTTTTTTTCCCCCATGAAACAAGAAAACTTCTGAGCAATGCAATATACTGTTTACCTTCTTGTGCTTGCTAGATACCAAATCCTCAAATAATAAAGAAGATCAGAGGAGACAACACTTGTAATAATACATGTAAATTACTTGTCAACATGGAATTTAGGAATGATCAAGCAACATGTGAGCTGGGATTGCCGAGATTTTTGCAGGGCCAAGGCCCAAGGGTATCTGAGAGGTTGACAGGCTACGAAATGAAAAGGTTGAAAGATTCTTTGATTATGCTCGTGAACGGAATTTTACGTTGCTTCAATTCAAATCAGTACTTTATAAAGGCTAGTCAAATTATATGCTTTTGAATGGAGCACAATTACATGATGCCATGATTATATCCATCAAGTGATGTTAGGGGCAACAGCATCCCTTGTGGGATTCTACAAGCAGAACAGGTGGGGATGCAAGGCTTTCTTGTCTCTCTGCACATAACAAGAGACTCTTGCATATATACTATGCATGATCTTTTGCAGTTAGTAAGCTAATACCATGTAATATATATATATACACACACATACTAGGGAGCTGTTCTACTAGAAGCTTAAATGGCATGCAACAACCAAATTCATACATCAAAACCCAAATCAATTTCTACAAGGAAAAGAAAATCTTACAGCTCAATCTACCAAACTTGCTTCAAAACCATACCATGCAAAAAAGAATTCTTATCATCGTTCTAATGTCTCCCCTGGCAATATTATCCTACATTCTATCTTCTATACTACTCTCTCCATCATCAATAGTACAGAATCACTCTCCATTCTGATTACATGATGGAACATCCATCGACATTTTCATCACTGAAAATGTTGAAAGAGTCCGCCTGTGTTGTTTGATTTGCATTTGTATATGGTGCTGGAGCAACATGATAATTAAAAGGAGCAGGACTTCCATATGGATATGCCATATAACTTGATGCATACACTTGAGGACCGTAGTAACCTAGTGGCCATGGAATCGAATGCTGATGTGTAGGGTTGAGATCACTCGGGCCCATAACTTGATTCATCCCCACACCATGAGTTTGATATTCACTGCCTGCAGATGTACCAGAAGATGGTGAGCCTGAGCCCCCCGTAACATTGCTGCCGTCATTACCTTTCTGCCCTTTCCTTTTCTTCTTGTTACATGCACTGTCTGCCCCACCACCCTCAATTATACTGCCCTTGTTATTTCCACCCGGCAACGCCTCTCCGGCGGTGGAATTTTCCAGTGGCTTCTTCCCCTTTTTGGTCTCCTCACCTAGTCCCTCCAAGGAGAATCTCACAGATTTTTTGCCGCCACTATCATTCTGATTTTGGTCATTTGTGCTGTGCATGCCTTTTGCTTTGCCTGATTCTTTCTCCTTGGTAGCAACCTTTTCAGGCCATATCTCAGCATGTTTGCCTGTTTTCATGAGTTTCTTGATCAAGGTCCCTGCTTCAATGTTGCCAGTAACTGTGACTCTTTGTTGCTGCGAATCAATGCTTGTTGTGTAAACACCTGAAATCATTTTACATTTAGCATATATAATTGTGTCAGCATATGCATGCATAGAGTACAAAACACGAGGGGTTTGCATGTTCTCATTTTTGCCAACAAATTAAGAACAAATATGATAGAAAACCTAACTAGATTAATCTCTTTAACAACGTTTTTCAATATTTTAAGAGAAACAAGCAGCAGCAGCAAGTTTCTCTTTGTTATTACCATCGATGCTTTGTAAGACTTTCCTGACTTTTCTCTTGCAACCTTGGCAGTGGATAGATACTTTCAAAACCCATGTCTGAAATACAAAGAAATTAATAAAGTCAGAACAAATTAAGGGTAATTAAGCAGTGATTAATTACTAGAGCGGTAATCAGTAACCTTGCATTTCAGAGCTTTAGGGACTTCTTGAACGGACGTTGTTGTAGCCATTAGAGGCTTTTGAAGAAGACCGAGCAGCTTGTAAAAGTAAAAGAATGAATGGATGATAGTTTAAAGGCTTTCAAGTGGTTTAAAAAGAAAGCAAAGAACAGATTGCGTTGAGTTAATCCCCCCTATTAATTGTCCGTACGTGATTGTAGTCAATTATGTAACAATATTTCAGTACTGTGGATGACACAGAGACACATTAAAGCATTTTTACTTTCTATGTATGGTCTGATTTTTTTTTTTCTTTCTCGATATATTTAGGTATCCTATCCTTCCACCATCAACCTTGACAAGATTTTAGACTATCATTTCTATGCTATTAAGAGCATCAAGTTTGGTTTGGTAACAAGTTTGAGGCATGATCTTCATGTATAATTTATACTTTATTATTGTTGGTATGGATTTTGATGAACTTTAAGACAGAAATCTCATGAGTCATTTTATTGTATATACACAAACAAATAAGAACCACCATACATGGGTGGAGGCATCTATGTTTGTGTGGAGAAAACCGAGAGGTGGCCGGAGAAATGCTGGCATCTTAATAAGGCACTGTGGTGGCTGGTGGGAGAAATTTAAAGAGGTTTGTTTTTGCTATATCGTCTGATGGTGTCATCTCCGAGATAGTACAACTAGGTAGAGAGATCCTCTATTAAATAGGCAAAGCACCTAATCTCTTTCTCTTCAATCAGAACTTTGGGGCATTCTAACACGTAAACAATTTCTTGGAAACATAAGAATGTCAAGGTCGATGGAGAAAGCAAATAATTAATTATGCAAACGGCTATTAATGGTGGAGGTTGAGAATTCATGGCTCCTCACTGGCCATTATTCAATCGGTTGTTAGAACTTTCAATTATATTTCTCTTTTCAAGACTAAACAAATCCCCAGCTTGGTGCCTGTCAAGATGGTTTCTTCCTTGTTCTCAAGCAAATATCAATTCAAACAGGTGAGCGAGGATAACATGTCCTGCAATAACACCAGGATAAGAGCAGCATGTGTATGGAGTCATAGGAAGCAGAAACAAAGGTTGAAGTATAAATTTCAAGGAAAAGGGAAGATAACCCGAAATGCGTCCCTTTTAACGAGGCAAGTGATGTGCATCCTGATCTAATTTCCTTATCCAAAGTCAAATCAAGCAGTAGTGTTATCACCATTATTAAAGAGGAATTGAAGAGACCTATGAAGTTATGATTGCAGTCAGCACTCAGAATCTCAGACAAAGTATCCTCTATGATTGCCTCACTTTCCACAAATCAAGGACGCAATAACCTCAAACCAAATGGTTTATGCAGGTAATGTGTCCTTGATTTGTGGTCGTTCCAATGGGTGCTACACTACTGCAATGCTAGTCCAAGAGCAAAGACAAGACAAACATGCGCCAACAAGTGAACGAGGTAAAAGGTTACCCAGCACTCATCTTTTAAGTGACTTGTGGTAGTTTTATGGTTGCTCTTTAACAAATGAGTTTTTAAAAAAAAGCTAAAAATTATAATTTTTTTTTATAATCAAGATTTTAAGAAATTTTTTTAAGTGAAATCCATAAAAGGAATGAAGAAACTATAGCAAGGACAAAAAACAGTTTCATCCATACCGCACTATCAAAAGAACCCTAAAAGTTCCAGCACATTAACAGAGAAAAAAAAAAGGAATGAAGAAATAAAGAATGCCAAAATTTACTTTATAATGGGCCTCCCCAGGATGATAAATATTCAAATCTATGAAGAGTGCTTTAAATGAAATTATTCGGCAAATGAAGAATGACATGAATTTCAGAAAACAGTTCCTGCCTTCTAGTAGAATCTAAGTACGTAGTTGAAGAGTTTGACTCACAGCTGCCTGAGAAAGCGCCAGGAAAAGAAATTGATCGATAGATGTAAGAGCTAAAGTACAAGAAATACTTGCTCCATAACAAAACATCTTAATTTTCATCTTTCTTCTCGATATCCTCTTCAGCTGAAGAATGAACTTTCTGATCTTCTACATCAACCTTGGGTTCTTGTGCCTCTTGAGCATCATCACCTGCACTGTCCTGAAACTGCAAGAGTTCATAAATCATCAACCTCGGGGCTTACATTTACTTCTAAAATCATTTTGCAAATTAGCTGAATGAAACGTATGCATAAGGCACATGAAGAAAATTCTCAAGAAAACTTTACCCCCAAATTTCGAAGGCTAGCAGTAACATCTTCTTGTTGTTGCTGCAGTGTGTTCTTCAGTTCTTGGAATTCCTAGTTTTGATCAGGATAGATATATTAAGAAACAGTATTAATAAAAGGAAACGCCAAAGGTGTTTGCTTGAGTAGGACTTACTGTTCGAAGTTGAACAACCTCAACATTCAATGACTTCTTCAATTCCGACAACTCCTGAATGAAGCAAGAAATTTTTGCACAAGTTCAACTGAACTACATCTCACCCCACTACTATTAGATAAAACACAACGTATGAAGGGATAGATGGAGGTCTCTAATAAACAAGCCACTATTGCATGAAAATACAGAATTCATTTTCACCTGGATTAGTTTCTTGCATAACTTACATGTAACTGGTAAATACTTGAAGTACAATATTTATCTGAACAAAGTTTGTAAAACCACGTGAAGATAGAGAGTAGCTGAAGCAAAAATGGTGAGATTATGACATGTTCTCTGGTTCATTCCCGGTAATGTTGCAGGGCATATATCAAAAAAAGAAATTCATCGCAATTCATTACTTTTCCACGGATCCATGAAACATTGAGGTCAGATATGAGGTTGGAGTTGAAATATTTGCATAACTGTAGACATTTGTTTAATCTACAAAATTTAGTGAAGAAAATAACAGCAAGACTCAAATAACAATTGAATGCCAAAAGGCGTGGATAATGATCTGTTGACACTGATAAATTGAGTGAATTGCACATTGTCGTTAAAAAACAGCAGCGTGCCATTACTTGCTGCATGCAGCCTAGACACTTAACTGCTTCCGCAACAACATTTTCCAGTCAGTCGACACAAGCTCTTCCAAGCATGATTGAACATCACCAAGATTCTAGTCTTTTAGTTCACCTTAATCTAAGCAATTCAAATCCCATGCACTACTTTACTCTTTCTATTTTCATATAATCTCAACAGGCAAACGATAAATGATGAAATTGTGTATCTATTCCATTCTATGAAATAGAAAAAATCAAATTGCATGTTTAGTACAACACACAGCGCCAAAAGGCCTTGACATTGCAGCAGCCTAGGCACATCAACATTGCATGTTTTATTTATTTATTTATTTCAATTGGGTTAAACAGCAACGCAGATATTAGCGAAAGAAATGTATTCACAAAACAATATCAATTGGAATCCTGTAAAGGAACAGACGTCAAGTATCAGAATCAGAATAATAATCTTCTATACAGATCATAATTTTTTTAAGAAATAAATATTTACTTACATCGCGATAGATTTTAACCTGAGTGTCGAGCTTCGATCTCCAGCTTTGCAAATCCTAATTACACATTTGAATGTCTGTTTTTTATAATCAAATTCAAACCATGATAAAATCGGAGGCCCAAAAAAAAAAAAAACCTGCTTTAAGCCTTGGATTCTGTTAAGAAGCTCAGTCCTGGATTCATTTAATTCCTAAAACAAGTAAAAAAAAAAGCACCGCTTTTACAACACTGTAAGCAGCATAAAGTCAAAAATTAAAAGCGAAGAGCAAACACATACAGTGATCTTTGAACCGATCGGAGTTACGTCCTCTTTCTTCTGCAATAATGGTAAGAAGAAGAAGAGGGAGAAGATACATCAATTATTAGGGTTTGCTATTAAATAAAGAAAAAAACAAATAGATGAGAGAAAGAGAGCGGTTTGTGTACACGAGCGAGAGGAAGAGGAGCAGAGAGAGTGGCAGTGGAAGAATCGGAGTTGGCCATTGATGGAGATTTGATTTGATTTGATTTGGATTGATTTAGATTACGATTAAAAAAGTAATTAAAGGGTTTAGGGTTTGGTTTTTCTAACAAGTTTGGAGATCCTGAGGATGCTGTCCGTTTGGTTGTTGAGATGTGTGCCAAATAAAAGAAAAGAAAACTCAAATTTTGAATTTTGGAATTAAGGTTGTGTTTGGGCGGGCAAAACACAGCTTGAAATTGAATCGTAGTAGCAGTAAGGATCAGGCTGTCATTAATGATTAAAGAATTAAAAATAAATAAAACCAGCAGGAAATATAACTCACTGTCCATTCACTCAGAAAATTTTGTGACTCAGTTTCGAGGAGTAATTTAGTCTTTTTCACTTATCTATTATTCTATTATTCATTAAATAATTGTTGAGGATTTATATA